TACACAGCCCCTCGCAGCTCACTGCCTGCCCCCGTGTGTGTGTGTGTATGGGGAAAGTTATAGACTTCACCTGAAGTGCCTTTCTTGGGATCGTCCGAGGCCTGGGAGACATCTTGGAGGGGATAGGGAATGATTCCAGAGTGAAGAGCAATTCCTGGCTGGCCAGCATGATGACCTGGCTGGCCTGCTCCTCCTCATCATCATCGTTGTCCTCCACAATCCTTGTGGAGGCTGACACCGGGCGTTTCCTGGTTGGACTCAATGACGAGTTGTGGGGTGGTGATCGGCTCCCCTCCCAGGATGGAATGAAGCTGCTTGTAGTAGCAGCAGGTCTGAGGCCCTGCCACAGAGTTTCCACTTTGCTCCCTGGCCTTGTTGTCGGCCTGCCAGAGCTCTTTTATTTTTATGTAGTCCTGGTCAAGGGTCTGCATTTGTCCTTTTTCGGCCAGGCTAGTGTAGACATTGGCATTTCTCCTCCTGGTGCAGAGATCCTGAAGGTTGGTCTCCTCTCCCCAGACTTTGATGAGGTCCAGGATCTCCACACCTGTCCAAGCTGGTGCCCTCTTTTGTCCCTGGCCAGGGGCAGCCTAGGGTGCTGCGGGAGTGCTGACAGCCATGGGGAGCTCAGAGGGAGCACTGGGGTTCAACATGGCTCCTAGAATGGGTTCTGTGCGGCACTGGGCTGAGAACAGTCCACACATGCCACAAACCCTTTTCCTTCTGCCTGCTGCTTTAAGCTCTACAAGAGAAGGGAGCATTGGAGTTGTCAAGGGTGTGGCCAGACTGGCCACACGTACAGCTGTGAGAGGCCTCTAGAGGTCAGTTATTTTTAAATAGCAGCAGCTGAACAACCACACTGATGCTATTTTGAAATAACAGGATTGGTAGTGTGGACATTCACCTTGTTATTTCAAAATAATGGGAGTTATTTCAAAATAACTCCCTAGAGTAGACCAAAGCTAAGTATAATATTTCATCTGTCTGAAGCTCCTCTTTCCTATTAATAGGGAATCATCTATAAAATATATATAAAATACGGTATGATTAAACTCTAGTTTAAACATGAATGAGGCACCAGTGCCAAATTGCTATAAGGGGAGGCTCCAAATGGCAAAGAAAAGAGAATGACAAAATAGAAGTTTAAACAAGACTGAATTAGTCACAGAACGAAGATGCATGCACTGCTTGGAAAATGCAGGTACAAAAAAGATGGTGCCTGGTGAATATTCATGCAAAATACTCACTATATTTCATTTTATGTTCAGCCAAGAACTGATGAATTATGTTCCAACAATGGTTCTTATTTCATTGGGCTAAAAACATCATATTTCATACTGCTGTCTTTTTTATTTTTTTGCTCCATATTCGCACAGATTATTTTGCATCCCAATTATCCTTGCTAGCACATTTTATTGCTGAACATCAGTTGTTGAGGTTTTCCAGGATCCCGTTAAACGCGGATATTTGGGACCTTGCCTGTCGCACAATATATTCACTGTGACATCCTGAATTATTTTGATTTCCTGCAGCATACCCAGTCTCCTGTGGATATCTGTTTCAGAGTCACACTGATGGTACTTCCTATACCCAGCCAATTTAGATTTAGAAGTTATTTTAATCTTTCATCTTTCAGATCTTTGGTTCTTTTGAAGCCAGGCCATTAGTAGAAGATCCTTATAAGCAATTTGTGTGTTTAAAATGAGTGTGGTGTACATTTATTTAATGAAGAGTTGACTACACTGGGAGGGACATTTTCTCTAAAGTCTGACATCCTGCAGAGAAGATTTTTTGTGGGTTTGCTTAAGTTTACTAAATGCATTTTACTTCCTCTTCAGCTCCCTCAACTTTTCAGAAAATCTGCTTAGCTGAAATGATGTTATGAGAGTGTGTTTATATTGCAAACAAAGCCTGACTCCGTTTTGAACCCAAACACTTCCCACCCCCAGTTAGCACACGTAATTCAGTCTAACTTTTGTCAATACACACTCAAAACCTAGGTTCTAGGACCCTAGTATGAGAAAGGTCAGAACCTGAGTCCTGACACTCAGGTTTAAGCTCTGCCATTTTGCAATGTGGGCATACCTCAAACCAGTGGGAAAGTCTGTGTTGTGTAGTATGGATGCTAATGCTGTGAGACCCTGGTCCAGAGACTGTAAATCCTGAGTAGTATGCGCTACAGATGCTTAGGCACAGTCTAGGAAACACTAGCCCTGTGTCCCACAGACCAAGGCTTAATGTGCAGTGTAGACCTACCCAAAGAATTTACCATGTAGGGCTTCAATCCTGCATACAAGATCAGAGCTGACACAGTTTGCAGTCTGAGAAATAACTGTATAGTTTATTATCAGAGGGGTAGCCGTGTTAGTCTGGATCTGCAAAAGCGACAAGGAGTCCTGTGGCACCTTATAGACTAACAGGTGTATTGGAACATAAGCTTTCGTGGGCAAAGACATACATGCATCTGATGAAGTGGGTCTTTGCCCCCAAAAGCTTATGCTCCAATACATCTGTTAGTCTATAAGGTGTCACAGGACTCCTTGTTGCTTGTGCAACGAGGAGTCCTGTGGCACCTTATAGACTAACAGGTGTATTGGAACATAAGCTTTCGTGGGCAAAGACATACATGCATCTGATGAAGTGGGTCTTTGCCCCCAAAAGCTTATGCTCCGTATAGTTTATATGGCTTATACTTAGATTTTGCCAGGATTCTTTTGTTAAATATGTGCCTAAGCGGAAAATCAGAGAAATGCCTTTCTCCAAATATGAATGCATTATAAGTGTTTTCAGAATGCAGTGGTCATCTGACGAAACATCCCTCTAACTCTTCTGTCAATATGGATGTATAGGACGTATCCGAAGTTGGCTTGTAGTGCACCATTTTGTCATCTAGCATCTTCACTAGAAATTATCGCTGTCTGCCATATACTTTTATGTTTGTTTCTTTCTGGAAGTTGAGCTATTAGTACAGTTTAAGGACTGTATCATCTTTTGTATGGAGCTAAATATCTGAAACTATTTGATTTCTTTAAATAAAAATAAATATGTATGTAGACACGTGTCCATTTCTATTGATTTGTCATAGGTGCTGGGAATGTCAAAGGTTTCACTCATGCTTGAAAATGGTCAAATTCTACGTGTGTTTACATTGGTACCAAACCAGAGTGACTCATTGAAGTCAACAATATATAAGGGTCAATGAATTTACCCCAGATTTACACAAATGTAAATGAGTATTATATGTAATCCCACTAAAAGTAGACATGACTACTTGAAACTTAGCAGATGTGATTATAGAAAGTTACTGTCAAATGCTGAAAAGTCAGGAATATTCCATCTGTAGTAATAACTTTTTTGTGTGTGTGCCTGGGCTTTAATACTTCATGACTCCTACATTTATGCCTAATACTATCCATCTGGCCCAGCATAACTGAATGTGCATTTCAGTAGTGCCAAATGATTGTCAGGATTAATTTTTTTTAAAAGTATTGAGATAAATTGGCAAGAGAGATGTTGAATTGCCCAGTTTATCAGCATAAACGTGTTGTTTTGAACAATCAGATATTTAATTACCAGACACATACTTTTTCAGTGTATTTTATGTGGTGCAATCCAGAGTCTGGTATTTTCATAATGCAAGCCAAACTATTTTATAATAGGCAGTTTCCTCCTTAGTAGTAGTAGTCTGACAAAAATAATAATGTTTATATGTCACAAAGTATATATATTACAGGGTAGCGCTAAGCATAGATGTACAGCTCTTGCATGGAGGTAGATTGTGACAATTTTGTACATTTTAGTCATATTTAGACTTTCTAAAAATGTTAAAAATCAGCAATGCAGTGTTTGAGATTAGCCTAAAAAAAGCCAACATATCCCTCAGAACTATGTGTTGCTTTCATTTTAAAAGTTTATTGTTGCATAATTTATGTTTAAATAAGTGATGTGGCAAAATCCTGTTTTGAAAGTTCTTTTGGTAAAGTTTCAGACACCTTTAAAGGTTAAAAATATATATCCTTATTTACGGAAGTCCTGTTTATTTAGTGATATGCAGCCAGCGAAACATATAATTCTTTAAAAGCCTTTCAGCTGTTTTGGGATGATTACTCAAACAGCATTCACAAAAAAGTACATACTTTCTGAAAGTACTTGCGGAGACAGCACGGATAGATCTAACTTAATATATCATTAAAAGTTTCCGTATATAGCAAAGTCAACAGCCTTTACTGTAACTGACCAGCATTATTTCAGGTTCAGTATGTTTCATTTTATATATTGTATAAACTTGTCCTGCAGTTTCATGTTTGAACAAATTAAAATGTCTATAATCCTTTTTCAAGTGCTACATCTATACAACCTGCTACATTTACGCACATTACCATGATGCAACACCTCATATTTTAAAGAGGGCTACAGTTTCTTCTGCTATTACCCTCTGATTTGTTAAGGTTTCAAATATAGGTTTCAAGGCATGGAGAAATCAATTCGCTTTATGATAGCTGTTACTATGTCTTTCATTCTTTAAACTCTCAAGCATGTCTTTAAATCCAATAGACTAAGTGCCCAGATTAATTTTACTTTGCCCTTTTTTAAAAGTGTCAAATGTTCAAGGAATATATGCAAAAAGGTGTTATTTAACAATGGTAAATTCTTAACCAGCCAATTCTAGGCAAACTTTCTAATAAATGGAGGTTAATTTATTATAATCTTTACCAGTTGATTTATAATTCAGGTGATAATTTTGTGTCCATGGAGGGGAAATGATGAACTTTGAAACTTTAATTATATGGATATGATATAGTCTCTACAGTAAATATTAATAGTTTTTTCTTATACCTGCTCATGAGCGCTGTGACCCTTCACATGGACACACACATGCTTAGTTCCTGTGCAATCATGTAGAAGCATTTGCAGGATTGTGGCCTGTGTCAGTAGGCCTCAGCCTGTTCTCAGCAGAGTCTCCTGAATACTAGCTAATCTCTTGTCATTTTCTCCTTTCTCAGCTATTGAAGTGAATCTCCAAAAAGCCCTTGCTGAAGCTTCCGAAACCTGCACACAAGAATGTCTTATCCTAGGCCATTCTGACAACTGCTGGATGCCACCTTCTTTGACACAGTACCAACAATCCAACCCTCCTTTGCCATCATTTGGTTTCCAGCAAGGATGGGGTCGAGGAAGCAGGCCCGAGGGAAGACATGCGCATGGAAGGCCCCTTCTGAAGGATGATAGTGACAAAAGCCAAGGTGGTCCACGGCCCCAGTTCTATAACACCTGTGAAAGACATTGTACCAGTGAAGATACAGTCAAGGTGATTCCCCTGGCCAACTTCAGTCCATCGCAACAGGCACCGGTGTCGGGGAGCAACACCTTTATACACGAGCACCAGCTATAAAGGCACGTCTGTCAAATCAGCTATTTCAGGCTTTAAAGTGTAAGTGTGTATAGTCACAGCCTAGCAGTTAACTTTACTGCATATACAAACCTGTTAGGCTTGTGAATATTTATGTAAATAGAATTCTGAATTGAATTTCGAGAGCTGAATCCTTAGTAGTGAGTTAAAGGAAATTTACCATAATTGTTAGTCAAAAGTATGCACAACAAACACAACTGGGTCATCATAGCACAAATAACAGCTTGTTTGGGCAGGGATCATCTTCCTATGTCTGGTAATTCCCTCACACATTTTGAGCACTATCATAATCTATGGAATAGTCACAAAGATGACTCTTTTTTATTTTATATGTATATTATATTTATCACATCCATTAGACAGGTTTCCATTTGTTCTTCTGTCAGTAGCAAACAGAGATTAAATAGCCAGTTTGTCAAACTATTACTTGAAATCGGTGATTAAATAAGTGATTTAATTCTCTGCATGCAAGGCACTCTTACAATACTATGTTTTCTATGACAGGGAAGTGAAGTGTATTAAGTCTTCCTGATGCCTTTTGCCTTTCCTTTTAAGGGTGTACTGCCTCACTTTACCTGTGTTCACTATTTCGGGAAAAATAACATAAAAGAAATATGAAACGGAATATTTTATTTGACCTTAATGTTCTTTTGCTAAATAGATACCTCTAAAATGATGTTTGCACTACAATTTTACAAAGAGAATGTCTTGCTTTCTAAGATTTACTTTTTCTAGATGAATGCAAGCTATGTCCCAATCCATATTCCACCTGCCAGTTTTCAGCCATGAGTCCATCACTAATCATGTCTTTACCCTGCAAATTTCATATTGGTTAATGTCCTTGTGAATTGGGGATTGCATAAACACAGAAGGAAACTGGGTAGATTTTACAGCTGATTCAGTACCGTGGCTGTAAACTACTGTTGTCTTGAGAATATTATGGTGATTTAAATGTTAATTTTACAGCCCTATAGTCAGTCACTGCAGGTTTTCAGTAAAGAATTAAATATAACCTTAGATACTGCACACTAAACCTATTAGAGTAAGGCACTCTTGTCATTCTAGCTTAGTTTACTGAAGAAAATTACTGACATTACTCTGCAAAGAAAGAGGAAGCCAGGAGGTGAATGTTGGATGGATGTAATTATAAATATACCCCAATTATGCTATTCTCCAGGAACTCAAGGTGATGTACTGGAAAGATTAGGCATTCTTGATTGAACCTTGTGCTGTATGAGCTACTCTTTATATAGCATAAAAGAAATCTAGTGAATCCTATATTGGACACAAGAGGATGTCTTTCTTAGATGGAGAAATTTCTGCATTTTCTTCCTGGTATTTTGTTTTGATTCATCCATGATGTCAGGAATGATGCATACATTTCACTATCAAATAACACAGTCAGTTAAAATACTACTTAAATCAAGAGACAATCTAAGTTTGATGGGTGTGGGGGGGAATGAGTACTTCCTATAGATGGAATTCTGTGTAGGCTTCTTTATGTAACTTTAAATCTGTAATTTATAAACAAAATTGTGTGTAAAAAAGCTGTAATATAAACTGCTTGTACAATGTATAGAAATTCCAGGTGTGGAGGGTTCCAATGGATGCTAAGAGAGTTTCTCCTATGTGCCCAGCAGGTATAAGTAGCTTTATATATTGTTGTCCCCACTGTAAATCTATTCAAAACACAGTTAGTTTGAATGTGCAAAATAAAAGAAGCTTCACCTTTAACCTAATGATAGGGTTTAATTAATGAAACCTCAGAATATCTAATGGTGTATTGTTTCCTTTTTATGTATATTGCTTAATAATGTTTAAGCAAGATGTGGCACACTGGCTTCCAGTTGCATGTAAATCCTGGAAAAAATGTTAATCTGCTGGATACTGACACACAATAGCTGCTCATGTCTAGTTCAGGCATAAGTAAGAATTTGACAAATTAATCCAGACTTAATCTGTATAAAGGCTTCTATATTTCTTTATAGGAAAATTTGAAGGCACTTTTCAAAGATGTACAGAGATTCAGCTCACCTATTCATTCTAGAAAAATTGGACTCCTCTGCCATCATATTCACCCTGATTAAACAAAGGACCTATTGAGTGTTATACAGGAACGATACACCATAGCAAGTGTTTACAGGATTGGATCCCTGTGCTGAAAAATGTTCAAACATAATCTTGTCTGTATGATTTCCATTCGGGCTGAAAATTGCAATAGAATGTTCTCGGGCACAGCATTTCACCACTTAAATTAATTTCCACAATAAATTGGAAATTAATAGGCAGAATTTTTCCAAAATCAATACAAACATGACTTTCAGCATTAAGTAATCCTTTTAACCTATTTTTATATTTGTTCATGTTGTTTTTCCATATCTTATTTCCCCCACTCCCCCCCAAAAAAACCCAACCCCAAACACATGCTTTCTGTACAAAGTGTTCTGATTGGGATCCCTGAACTCTCTATGCCAGTATTTATCAATGATCAGTCCTGGGACTCTCACCAGTCCTTAAGCTCTCCCTGATAAACTTTAGGTAAGCAGCGAGCTGGTCCCTGGTATCAAAATGTGTGAGAACTGCTGTTCTACATAGTTCTATTTTCTAAAGCATGCTAATGTTAAGGAAACAGACCTAATCCTTCTACATTCTTCCCCCCCCCCAAAATTTTAAGGATACATTTTCAGAGACCTACTTTTTTTCTACATTCAGTCTTCCTGTGGGAAAATGATTTTGACTGAGAGTCTCATTTTTCACCAAGACTAAGTTACTTTTTCAGTGAAAGAAAAATAAATTTACCACGGCAAATTTCTCAAGTGCCTTCACTTACATGTTCTCTGTTAAGATACAGTCCATCCTGTGAAGACTTTTGAGAATTTCCAAGATTCCTGCTACATGCAGTACTACTTAAAATTTAAGGATTCGATTTTTGAAGTCTTACTATCATTCCTCACACAACAGTCCTGCATAGAGTCCTCTGTCTAGTGTGCGGCGCTGTATCACACAGGAGTCTATCCACACAGATAAGTGCAAGATGATATCCTACAAGCAAAGACATGCTACCCCACACACAACTCCCCTGAAGGAAAGTGTCTCCAGAAGGATCCATTTTCAACATCAATCTCCAAATCTGTAAGTTTTTCTTCATCGATGATACTCTGTGAAATGTCTGAATTCCATTTGGATGACTTTCTTGAGTATTTACTCTAAATCAACTTTGTTGATCATTTCACATATGACATTGTAAGTAGTGGCACTTATTTTTTCCTGTTTCTCACAGAATTATAGCAATATTTACTTTGATGTACAGTACTGTGGGTTGTTTCTGCCTTCTTATGAGTTTGCATTAATTAGCCTCGTTACTTCTGTTATTTAGAGGAAAAAGAAGCCTACTTGAAACAGCTTGAACCAAACTTTGGGGCTATGTCTACAATGCAGGCTTCGTATGAAAGAACTGTTTTGTGCAAAAGTTCTTGCACAAAGGGTCTTGCATAACAGCATGTCCACATTGCTATGTGCTTTTGCTCAAGAGCATCCATGGCAGTGTGGATGCTCTCTTGTGCAAGAAAGCTCTGATGGGCATTTTAGCCATAGGGGTTTCTTGCGCAATAAACCCCTGTTGCCCATCCACACTGCCTTCTTGTGCAAGAGCTCTTGCACAAGAGGGCTTATTCCTCACGGGGAGAGGAATAACTCTTGCGCAAGAAGCCCTCTCTTCTGATGCTTTACTGTAAATTTACTTGCACAAGAACACATATAGGCTATGTCTAGACTGGCATGATTTTCCGGAAATGCTTTTAACGGAAAAGTTTTCCATTGAAAGCATTTTCAGAAAAGAGCGTCTAGATTGGCATGGACGCTTTTCTGCAAAAGCAGTTTTTGCGGAAAAGCATCCGTGGCCAATCTAGACGCGCTTTTCCGCAAAAAAGCCCCGATTGCCATTTTCGCGATCGGAGCTTTTTTGTGGAAAACAAATCTCTGTCTACACTAGCCCTTTTGTGCAAAAGTTTTTCAGAAAAAGACTTTTGCCCGAAAGGGAGCAGCATAGTATTTCCGCAAAAACACTGACAATCTTACATGAGATCGTCAGTGCTTTTGCGGAAATTCAAGGGGCTAGTGTAGACGGCTGGCAAGTTTTTTCGGAAAAGCGGCTGATTTTCTGGAAACACTGGCCAGTCTAGACACAGCCATGCAGTGTAGATGCTCTGCAAGTTTTTGCACAAGGACAGCTGTTCTTGCGCAAAAAGCCTGCAGTGTAGACGTAGCCTGGGTGATTGTGCTTTCCTGTAAATTATTTCAAAACTTTTATGGGACATTTATTAAGAAATTCCACTGTGAATATAAAGGAGTCACAAGAGAAATTAAACATTTTTCCACATTGCTAGTTATGCCCATAGTGAATGAAGTATAAGTCTGCAAAAAGCAGTTATGACAATATGACTTTTTAGTAACACGGAATAATTATAGAATAATTACAGTTTTGTGAACACACATTTTAACCAAACATTTTTAAATTATGCATCTATATGCTCGAAGTAACATTCTCACAAAAGGTAGGAGGAAATGCCCTGTGTCAATATCCAGAGGAATAACATCACTGTAGACTCTTTACAATTCTGACATATAAACAATTTATCCAGAACATAGACTGTACATTTTTGTGTAATCTTATTTAGCCATTTAATTTATTTTACTTTATTTGTGTGAATTTGTGGAAAAGAAACAATCCTATATATGGTATACAGTACAATGGTAGTTATATGAATAGATTTGTTTCATACAGTGTAACAATAAAGGAAAACCTTTGCCTTCTTCAAACTCAGTGTTGCACACTCTTACCTATAATTTCTTTTGAAACATGACAGACACAGCTGCTGTGTTTCTAAACATTTAATCAAAAGAAAGGGAGTGGAAAGGTCCTTTCTTCACTGTAAAGAAGAGGTGGTGGGGAGTTGTTTCATTTTGTTTTTTAAAAACATGCACAGACTTAGGTCATGTCTACACCACAAAATAAAGTTACTTAACTTATATCAATATTAAGCTGCTGCTGTAATTATATTACTTGCTAGTGTTCACATTTTAATTCTTGTGTCAGTAATGCACATTTTCACCAGGAGCCTTTGCAGCAACTGAATAATCAGTGCGCACATTGTGGGAAGGCTCCGTTGACCTAACCGTGTTGATAGTGACGCTATACCTCTCGTGCAGGGGCGGCAAGCAAATTACATTGGCAAAAAGCAAAATTTCTGTAAAGATACTTATGGAATTAGATTGATTTAAGTTGCCTTTTGTCAACCTAATTCTATATTGTAGACCAGGACTTACCATTTTGAAGCAGAAAATGCAAACCAGAGTTAAAGGATGTACGATAAAGAATGTTTCAAACCTTCTTCTTCATTCTCCTAGGGTGTGTCTAGACTACATGCCTCCGTCGACGGAGGCATGTAGATTAGCCAGATCGGCAGAGGGAAATGAAGCCGCGATTAAAATAATCGCGGCTTCATTTAAATTTAAATGGCTGCCCCGCTCTGCCGATCAGCTGTTTGTCGGCAGATCGGGGCAGTCTGGACGCGACGCGCCAACAAAGAAGCCTTTCTTGATCGGCACAGGTATGCCTCGTGAAACCAGGTTTACCTGTGCCGATCAAGAAAGGCTTCTTTGTCGGCGCGTCGCGTCCAGACTGCCCCGATCTGCCGACAAACAGCTGATCGGCAGAGCGGGGCAGCCATTTAAATTTAAATGAAGCCGCGATTATTTTAATCGCGGCTTCATTTCCCTCTGCCAATCTGGCTAATCTACATGCCTCCATCGACGGAGGCATGTAGTTTAGACGTACCCCTAAAGTATTACTCTGCATTGTAAATTTAATTCTTCTAAGAGAGAAAGATTAACAGTTATACAATAGTCTTGTATTTTCTGTCTCCTTTTCTTACAGTGAAGACAAAATTTCATTTTCCTTTATGAAAGAAATCATGGCATTTTATGACATTTTTCTCCATCCTCCCCATCCTTTTATGGCAACAATCAGTTTTTATTTCAAATTAGCTTAATTAGTCTAGAAAATATTGTTCCATCATAGAAACAAAGATTTTCTGGATTTGGGCAAGGAAGTAATCAACACTGCATGTCAATTATTATGGCAAAGATATCTAAAATGGAGACATTAAAGGAAAAAAATCAGTTTTTGTAGATTTATTTAAACACTAACCATGCAGTTGTTCTTATTGGTGAAGTAATCACATTCACAATTAGATAATAATGTAGTCTACCAGTCAGATTTCAAAGGGAATTTTATTAATGAGTTAAAGTAACCTATCAACTAGAAAAATGTCTTTGCTGGCATATTAGGCACTTTCCCGGTTGTTATCAGCAGCATGCATCCAAATACAGGAAGTTGTACAGTATCCTATATCACAATGTTTAACTATTATTGGAAATCCAATCTGAAAAATCATAAAATCACAAAAGTCCATAACTCAAAGAAACGTAATTTAATTTTGACTATAATTAGAAGAAAGTTCTTGAACACGGTTGATAGTGTAACTATGACATCAAAATATGTTTTCATAAATATTTAGCCTGAGGTGATATATTTTATCTATTTTCCCCATACTTTTTAGGCTTTGGTTCAAGCAAGAGTCTGTAGACACACAATAGTATGAGCTTATTTATACCATGTAATATATCAATATATTTGTCATTATTTGTAAAATAGACTCATTTGATAAAAAAATTCTGTCTGCTATTTTATGAAATTTGATTCTAACACTGGCAACTGATGAGTACAACAAGATTAAATGTTTTCAGAGTTTGGTCCTTTTTCAGGACTTACCTATGTTGTGTATGGTTAAGCAATCTATTTCAAAACACGAATTGATTAATGGAGGAATCAAAATAAATTCTACAGTGATTACCTTAAGATGGGCAGTATACGACTTGCAATGAATTTACTGGGTGATATAAAGTCTTAGAAGGGTAGCCATGGTAGTAGTCTTGAGGCACCTTAGGGACTAACAAAAATATATAGGATAATGAACCTTTGTGGGTAAAACCTACTTCCTCACATGAGTACTCATGAAAGCTCATGATCCTATATATTTTGTTAGTCTCCAAGATACTACAGGGCTACTGGGTTATATAGGCCATGTAATTCAGGAAAGTGGGTTTGGTGACATCATTGTAGAAGTCAGTATCTGTGATGTGTCAGTCAACAGCCATGCTCTTAGAAGGAAAGCATATAACAACTGTGTTAGAATTCCCATATTTATGAACGAGGAAATGAATTGCTTGAAATGGCTGGCACCTGGTGATTCTATCAACAATGATTAGTCTTGGTGGAATTCTGCAATTGTTACCTTTGAATCCATAGTAAAATTGTAGAATTCTTCCAGGACTGAATGATCCCCCAGTCACAAAAGAGACACTTATTGGAGGAACCGCTAACATGCATTGACTTCATGGACGGTGTCCAATTATTCCACACCACTTATCCAAAGTGTGTGTGGGAGGAACCTATGCAGATACATTTTATCCCATTTATCCCAACTACTGATGATGACAGAGCAGCTAAGAGAGATGATAACAATCCATGCAGCTTGAGGCATTTGCACTGTTGATTACACTTGACTTCTAGTGAGCTTGTATGAATGATGCTAAATGCATTGTAAAAATACAGCAGAAGCCAGACCACTGGAGGAGAAGCCAGATATATATCATGGCCTAGTCGATAGGCAGGGAGTAGGGTATTGGATTACCTGATGCCTCACACTGCATCTACACAGCACCCTAAATTTGAAATAAGAGATGCAATTTGTTCTACACAAATTGTGTATCTTATTTTGAATCTATTTCAAAATAGCTTATTTTGAAATCCGGCGTGTCTACACAGCACCAAATTTTGAAATAACAGGCTATTTCAAGCTATCCCTTAACCCTCATGCAATGAGGTTTACCAGGATGGCACACTCATTATTTCAAAAATTATTTTGAAATAATGGAAGGCTTGTGTAGATGCAGAGTAGCTATTTTGGGATACCTCCAGTATCCTGAAATAGCTATGCAATGTAGACATACCCTCAGTAGTTTATGGCATGACATGGCCATCAAGCAATCAGTCAACAAGGACTGATAGAAGCATTATCATATGTACACAAAAAAAGGGGTGCAGACTAAGTATTACTTGACAGCACATTTTAAGAGAGCTGTAACAGCTATGGCAAAACAGATGTGTGGAAAGCAGCCTTCAGCCACCAAGCCTCACAAAGAAAGCTACCACAAAGTATGTGGTTGTAAACAAAACTACTGTCCAAGACATTATATAAATTGTTACTGAAAAAATGACAAAGCCTGTTTGAATTAAACCTGGAATAAACCCAGACAACAGCCAACCACTTGTGAACATTGCAGCCTATACTATGTTCCCACCTGAAACTGCAGAAAGTTCATGTATCACAAGAGAGAATGACACACAAGAAATG